GTTACTTAAAGTGCTTTATATTTATAGTGACTAACTAATCCAAATCTATCATATGCTCCAGAATGATTCTGAAGTCCTTTTGTGAGTCAGGCTAAGAGAGTCAAAGTCAAAGTTAATAATAACTTTTTCATATTAATTTTGAATAAAAATAATCATTTCCAAATATTAAAAATAGTATGAATGAATTCTAGCTCTCTCTATTTACGAAACTGGTTCTGACACTCACCAGCTCTATGATATGGGGCAAATGCTTTAACTTCTCTAATACTCAGTTCCCTGGTCTAATAATAACATGAAGCTTAGATGAGTTAATGAAAGTAAAAGCACTCAGGGCAGTACCTACCACTGGGTAAATACTAACTCTGATTATTATATTATTTAAAGATACAGCCCAAATAGCCTGGTTTCAGAGAAGGCAAGCAGAGGCATATTCCACAGCATATTTAAAAAGTAACTTTTGTAGGGCATTTTTGAAGTTCCAACAGTGACAATGAGAAAAAAAAATAAGAATGAAAATAATCTAGTTTAAAATGTGTTGGTATAGATGCTGAAGCTGATGTGAAACTACTTGGTCTTTTGTGCTCTCCACAATAGACAGTACTGTTGCAAAATGGCAGGACTTCGACAGAGACCCAAGTCACATGAAATCAAATGAGCTGTGTGGTTGACTTGGACATTATGTCCCTTGTCAGTATTAAACAGTGAACTGGTCTGTGGTCAGTCAGCATTTTAATTTCACAGCTGCTCTATGTCCTTCAATGTCAAAGTCCAGTTACATTCCTATTAGTTGTTTTATATAGAATGTTCAGACTCGTGGGGTTCCTACTTTGTCAGTCATAAAATCTAAGTGAACAGCATGATCTTAGTGCTGAATTCAGTATGAATAAATCACTGGTATCAGACAGTTTCAGAAAACTAATTATGCTTTCATATTTTTAGTCTTAAAAAAAGAATAATTTCTTATACAACTGTGAAAAATCTAAAAATCAGTTCTTTTGAGGTCTGAAACTCAAACTCAGCCAGTGCTATCAACCCTGAAAATATTTGAAATGATAAATGTGTTTTCACAGTTTGCCTGGGAAGTGAGTAACACCAGGATGCTCCATATGAAAGGGCAGTGATAAATCGGTGGTTTGGGAAAATAGCGCAGCAGGTGCCAGGTTCTTGATGTGGGTCCTGAGGTGTGGAAAATTTCTCAGGCATTTGGGGATGCCTCTGCTCCCTCCGTCTCCTACTAAGAGCATTTCAGTTTCCCTTGGAGAGGGACCCAAGAGAGCAGTGATGTTAGGAGCCATTTTTCTTGAGATTACAGGTGACCATTTTGGGGACATTGGTCCTCATAAGACAGTTTTCTGTTTAGCTTTTGGTTACTTTGCTATAATTACCTTAGTGAGGTCACTAAATTTAAGTTTACCAAAGGAAAAACCAGTATAATCAATAGACTAATGAAATCCAACTTTCACTTTGGGCACTTGGCCTTGAAGGAAGAGGAGGTGCTTTCAGACAGCAAGAAAACATCTTAAGGAACAATTTGGAAATTTGAAAGAACATTCTGTGTTTGAGCAATGACAGATAGTCTGGTTTGTTAATATTGGGGCTGGGGACATGGAGGGAGGTCAGTAAAAGAGGCAAGATGGACTTCTAGACCTCTAGAATAAAAGTGTCTCTAGAGCAAAGTCACTTCCAACTCAAAGGCCTTCTCAGCTGTGTGCACTTTTCCTCTTCTTTTCCTTCATGACTTCCTGTCAGTTCTGTGCATTGGTCACTAACTGACTTACCCTAGTAACTCTGGCCTTGAGTGGTGGTCTCGGCATGGCTAGAGCCTTGTAAATTATGCCCACACTTACCTTCTTATTGTATATCTTTCTCTTACCCTTTTATCTGAGGATCTCTTGACTGAATTTCACTTTTGCTTTTCAGGTGCTTCGATTTCTTCTGGCTTGAATCCTATTGCCCTTCCATTTGTTCACTAATTTCCGATTGTTTATATCGGATGAAGTTTAATTCCCTGGCTTTCAGTGCTGTCTGGATCAGGATTCTACCCCCATTTTACCTGTACCTCCTCTAGGTTCTAGCCATATTCTCTCAGGCAAAATGAATTCTTCCTGTGACTTATTATTGACTTCAATTCCCTGCATCCTGCCTTGCAATATAATCTCTCCCTTTCTCTTTCTTTATCTTTTCTCAAGACCTCAAGTGAAGGGCTCAGTTGATCTTCATACTTCACAGGATTGCATATAAAAATATTCAGTAAGTGTTTATAGAGTTGAGTTTGGTTCAAGGGTTGACATTTTTATTTCCTCTTCTATCCAATAATTCAAATGACTACATTGCTTTAAAAAAATTTTTTTTTTTATTCTCAACTGAGGACATTTTTGCATTTATTTCAGGAAGAGAGGGAGGGAGAGAGAGAGAAACAACAATGTGAGAGAGACACTTTGAGTGGTTGCCACCCACACGACCCCAATCGGGGTCGGGGGTAAACTGCAACCGAGGTACATGCCCTTGGCAGGGACCGAACTCTGGCCTCTTTGGTCCGTGGGCTGATGCTCTAACTACTGAGCCAAACTGGCCAGGGCTACATTGCTTTTTACCCCTCATATTTATTGATGTATAATTAATTAACAAATAAAAATTATACATGTTTAAGATTTACAAAGTGATGTTTTGATATATGTATACATTGTTAAATGATCACTACAATGAAACTAATTAACATATCTTTCATTTCACATATTATCTTTTTTTTTTTTTGGTGATAACACTTAAGATCTACCCTCTTTGTAAATTTCAGCTATACAATACACTATTGTTAACTATAGTCACATTGCTGTACATTAGATCTCCAAAATTTATTCATCTTGCATAAGTAAAACTTTGTACCCTATTACCACCATTTCTCTATTTCCCCATCTATTAGCCCCTGGAAACCACCATTTTACTCTGTGCTTCTATGAGTTTGACTATTTTAGATTCCCCATCTATAATATTTGTCTTTCTGTGTCTGGCTTATTTTACTTCACATAATGTCCTCTAGGTTCATCCATGTTGTTGCAAATGACAGAATTGCTTTCTTTTTAAAGGCTAAATAACATTTCATATTATGTATATTTTCTTTATTTTCCCAGTTTTTAAAAATGTATCTTTATTGTTGAAAATATTACAGATGTCCCTCTTCTTTTCCATTGACACCCTCCTCCTCACTCCTGTGCCCCCACCCCTGCCTTCACCACACTGTTATCTGTGTCCACTGGTTACGCATATATGATATAAATTCTTTGGTTTATCTCTTCCCATCCCTCAACCCCCTTATCTCTGAGGTTTGTCAGTCTGTTCCCTATTTTCATGTCTCTGGATCTATTTTGATTGTCAGCTTATTTTGTTCATTATATTCCATAAATAAGTGGAATCATGTGGTACTTGTCTTTCTCTGACTGGCTCATTTCTCTTAGCATAATACTCTCCAGGTCCCTCCTAGTCATCTCAAAGGGTAAGAGATCTTTCTTTCTTGCAGTTGCATAGTATTTCATTGTATAAATGTACCACAACTTTTTTATCCACTCATCTACTAATGGGCACTTGGGCTGTTTCCAGAACTTATTGTAAATAGTACTACTATGAACATAGGAGTGCATATATTCTGATTAGTGTTTCAGGTTTCTTAGGATATATTTCTAGAAGTGGGATTACTGGGTCAAATGGTAGTTACATTATTAATTTTTTGAGGAAACATAATATTGTTTACCATAGTAGCAGCACCAGTCTGCATTCCCACCAGCAGTGTACTAGAGTACCCTTTCCTGCACATCCTTGGCACCACTTGTTTGATGATTTGTTGATGGCGGCCATTCTGGCAGGTGTGAGGTGATACCTCATTGTTGTTTTAATTTGCGTCTCTCTGATGATTAGTGATGTAGAACATATTTTTTTCATATGTTTCTTGGCCATTTGTATGTCTTCTTTGGATAAGTGTCTATTTTATTGAGATATACTTGACAAATACCGTATTACTTGAAGGTGTACAACATAACAATTTGATATATGTATATATTGCATAATTATTACCAAGATAAGTTTGATTAACATTCATTACTTCATGAAGTTACATAGTTTTTTTTTCTTATGATGAGAACTTACACAATCTCATCTCTTAGTGATGTTCAAATATAGAATACAACATTGTTAACTAAAGTTACCATGCTGTATATTACATGCCAAGAACTAGTTATCTTATAATAGAAAATTTGTACCTTTTTACTACTTTCACCCATTTCCCCACAACCCACCCCATTACTCTGGCAACTACCATTCTGTTCTCTGTTTCTATGAGTTTCTTTTTTTTGTTTTTTAAGATTCTATATAAGTGAGATCACATGGTATTTGTCTTTCTCTGTCTAACTTATTTCACTTAGTGTAATCTGTTCAAGATCTATTCACATTGTTGCAAATGGCAGGATTTTATTATTTTTCATGGATATAAATATACATATATATGTATATATCACATATATTATATGTGTGTGCACATATATGTGTGTGTGTATATATATATATATATATATATATATATATATATATTACAACTTTTTTATCCATTTATATGTTGATGGACACTTGGGTTGTTTCTATGTTTTGACTATTTTAAATAATGCTGAAATAAACATGGGGGGTAAAGATATCTCTTCAACATTGTTGTTTTGTTTCTTTCAGATATATACCCAGAAGTGAAATTGCTGGATCATATGGTAGTTCTATTTTTAATTTTTGAGGAACTTTCATACTGTTGAATTTCATGTCATTCTAAATTTAGATGTTTTGTATATGACCTGATTTTTACTCTGGCAGATTTTATTTTTATTTATTTTTGTAAATTTTAAATTTATTGATAAAACGAGAGAGAGAGAGAGAGAGAGAGAGAGAGAGAGAGAGAGAGAGAGAGCTTTGTCATTCTACTTATTTGTGTATTCATTTGTTGATTGATTCTTTTATGTGCCCTGACAGGGATTGAACCTGCAACCTTGGTTTGTCAGGACAAAGCTCTAACCTGCTGAGCTACTTGACCAGGTATCATGCTCTGGAAGACTTTAGATTCTTCCTTTTACCTCTGATACTCTGAAATGTTACCAAGATGTCCCATAAATAGGTCTTTTCCTCTTCTTTGTATTGACTATTGGGTAGGACTATTTACTTTGTAAATCCATGTCTTTAAACACTTATACATTTCCTTATACAATTCTGTTTTGATGAATTTCTCCTCTTCAGTTGTTTCTGTTCCATCTATCTATAACTCCTATTATTCAGATGTTAGAACTGATGAATGAATCCCCTAAGTCTCTTTTCTCAAATATTTCCCAACTCTTTGTCTAATCATAGGGGTGTGGTGGCAATTGGAACTGGATATTTGCCTAGCTAAGCAAGATAACAGAGAGGAACAGTGTGTAGACTCAACTAACATCTGTATTTAGCCTGTGTATTATTATTTCTACTTTCTGATACTTTTGAACTGTTAAGTAGCTCCAAGTCTTTAGCATTGCAGGAACTCTACAGATGATTCTCTCAATCAGCTCCCATCAACAGCTATCTCTGCAAGACTTTAGATTAGAGCTTCTCCCACTCTGTAAGGTCAATTACCATTCTCCATGTACTTCCCACCCACAATGTATGTGTTGAAACCTCTCATTCACTGATGAATCTCCTGCTGTTCTCCTTGTCCTTGTGGTATTTGCCCTTTTTATCCCTTACTCTCTGTTTGGTGGTATCTTCAGAGGCAGGGAAGAGTACTGTGTGTAGTCATTCTACTCTTTTTAATTAGACTTTGATTCTTTTCAAACATTCTGAACTTTTCCACTCTCTCTGTTATTAGTGCCATTCTTAGGCTATATACTCTCTTTCAGTGGTCTTACCCAGAAAGTTTTTTATTCAATTTTTAAATTTTCTTAGGGTTTGATACTGTATGTGCAGTACTATTTTAAGCTCTTTGAAAACAGGAATACAGTTTCCAATTATGCAAGATATGTTTATTAAGAGCTTCCTAACTGGTGTGCTGGGACACACTATACTAGTGCACTATGAATGAATATGGGTGTTAGATGTTGATCCTCTCAGTCCTTGGGAAGCCAGGCTGGTTCTGGGCCTGTGGCATCATGCATGCCATTTATTCTAGTATATCATACAAATAGTATTACTTTCTATATAAGGTATGGCATGGAAAAAATTGGGAGCACTACTATAAAGCAATTTGGTTGATATTTTCATTTTGGAATTTGATACTTTGCACTGTTCAATTTATCTTTACAAGATATGAAGTTTATTCTTTGGTGAAATCATTAATATAAATGAAAAAGACTCAAAATAGTAATGAGAAATAGTATAATTAAATGGATTGGGGGGGGCTAGGTAACTAGATTAATTTAGCGTTGCTTTACCCTATAATCTTTTGTTTATTAGTAGTGAAAATTCACCCCAGATCAAAGACATATTGTAAGAAATCAGGCTGTGTCTAAAATTCAAAAGTAGGAAGTGTTTCAGGCTGTCTGGACTAGATCCAGGAACTAAAAAGGGGGAGAATGAGATTGCCTTTGATTCTTCCAGGCCACATTATCCTGCCTCTGTTCTTCTTTCTGTGTCTACCTTATTCTTTTTTTTTTTTTTTTAAATTTTCTTTATTGATTTTAGAGAGAGAGGAAGGGAGAAGGGGAGAGAGAGAGAAACATTAATGAGAGAGCACATTGATTGGCCACCTCCTGCATGCCCCCCACTGGGGATTTGGCCCACAACCTGGGCATGTGGCTTGACTTGGACTCTCACAGGCGACCTCTTGGTGCATGGTTCGGAGCTCAAGCAGTGAGCCACACCGGACAACCTATCTACCTCATTTTTTTTCTCAAACCTAGTCCTGGTTAAAGTACCCAATGGAGAGTGACAAACATCTTTCAGTCTCAAAATCAAACTCGCAGGAGAAAAACTGGCTCAGCTGAAATGAGTTTCAAACAATGGTAGTAGTTTCTCTGAAGAAAATGATAAACCCAAAGTCAAATCCTATGAATGCGACTTGGGTGGTTTACTCTTTTGTCTGGGAAAAGAAGTTCTTATAGAGGTCACAAGGATTGAGTAGGCGTTCCAAACGTATTTACTACACTCATGAAAGCAATTTGCTTTTGCTTTATGACATGTAGGACATTTTACCATAAATTTCTCACCACAGATGCTTTGGGAAATTGTGTTTGAATTTACACATTATTTTCATAATACCCGACCTGGAAAATCTTTATTTTATTAGGAAAAAAAGGAATTATATTTTGAAGGGAGAACATATTAAAGTCAGCCACTTCAGAATATGGGTGACCAGTCTGTGTGAAACAACTTCTGGTTAAATTGAAGTGTGGTTATATATCAAGGAAACTGATTGCCTTTGAGTGGTTTGTACAGGGCTCTGAAGGCAATGGGATGGGTAGATTCGAAATGAGTGAGATGAGAGGTGGAGGTGTCATTAATCACAATTATCCACACAAAAATAATCAAGTACTGAAATAAGGCAAGAATGTTGGAATGGAGGAGAGGAGATTAAATGGTGGTATTGAAGAGGAGAAGGCATTTCATTGGTATGAAATAGTGTTTATTCATTTGAGCGGTAAGGAATATGTAGAAAGTAAGAAGATGCTATGTTTTTGACTTGCACAAATTATAACATTTGTTGAGATAGAGAAGGTAGGAGAGGAGGGTGTAGGTTTTATGGAAGACTATGAACTTAGTTTTAGACATATTCAGTTATAGATTCCTGAAGAGGACTTAGGTGTAAGAATCCACTATGTGGTGAGGTACATGTATAGTTTTCAATGTATATATGTGGAAAAAGGAAAACAGAGAGAGAGAGAGAGAGAGAGAGAGAGAGAGAGAGAGATGTTTGTGTTGATTTGTGTCCTTCATTTAAAAAGTAGTTAGTTATAAATTTGGTGAAGTAAGAAGGCATTCAAGTTCAAGAAGCACAGAACGCCAAGTAAGAAGAACCCAAACAGTCCCAGATCAAGACACATAGTAAATAAAATGCCAAAAATTAAAGACAAAGAGAGAATCCTAAAGGCAGCAAGAGATAAACAACAGGTTACCTACAAAGAAACCCCCATAAGGCTCTCAGCTGACTTCTCAACAGAAACACTACAGGTCAGAAGGGAATGGCATGAGGTAATCAAGTCATGAAAAACAAGGATCTGAATCCAAGACTACTTTATCCAGCAAGGCTATCATTCAATATAGAAGGTCAAATAAAGAGCTTCAGACAAAAAAAAAAAAAAAAAAAAAAAAAAAAGGCTAAGGGAATAAATTAGCACCAAAGCAGCACTGCAAGAAATGTTAAAAAGACTGCTGTAATTAGTAAAAGAAATTGGAAGAAGAAAAATATAACTACACTAAACAATGGCAATAAATAAATACATATCAATAATCACCTTAAATGCAAATGGTTTGAATGCTCCAATAAAAAGACACAGAGTAGCTGACTGAATAAGAAAGTATGACTCACAACTTCCGGTCAAGATGGCGACGTAGGGAAACGCAGTATCGCGTTCTCCCACAACCACATCCAAGTTACAACAAAACTACAGAACAACCATCATCCAAAACCGCCTGAAATCAAGCTGAATGGAAGTCCTACAACTACGGAATTTAAAAAAAAGGCAGCTACATCCAGACTGGTAGGAGGGGCGGCGGCGCGAGGGGTGGCGGCAGCGGCACGGCGGCGGTGCGACGTGCTGGTCCCACACCCAAGTGTGGCGGATAAAAATCAGGAGGCTCCCGAGGCTGGGAAGGTCCTTCCTGAGGACTGAGGGGTCCCCGTCCCACACCAGGTGCCCCGCTCAGGTTTCCAGTACCAGGAAGAGAAGTCCCCATAACTTCTGGCTGGAAAAACCAGCAGAAACTGAGGCTCAGGGAAGCTGACCTGGCTGGAGCCACAGGCAGCTCCCTAAAGGGCCCGCGCACAGACTGGTCGGACTCTCTCCCTCTAAGCTCGGAGGGGAGGCAGCTCCAGGGGCACCAGAGAAATACAGGGAGGAACTGAGCTGTTTGGCACTGGAGCGAGGGCTGGAGAGGGGGCTTTCTCGGGGACAAACGTGCTGTCAGAGGCCTTTGTTCCTTTGGTGAGCCCTTCCCTGGAGCGGCAGACAGTCGCCATATCTGGGACTCCAGCAACCTGGCTCACACTGGTAGCCCCGCCCTGCTGACTCCCTGAGGCCCCGCCCCACCCAACTTTCAGGCCCACCCAAGCTGTTGCTACTTGCTTAACCATAGGATTGGCCTGTCTTGGATCCTGCTTCAGGTTTTTCCTAAATTCTTTCAAACGAGCAGCATCGGGTCTCAGCGAGCCCCATACCTCTCATTAAGTAATACACAGAAACAAACACAGGGAGGCAGCAAAATGAGGAGACAAAGAAACAGGTCCCAAATGAAAGAACAGAACAAAACCCCAAGAAAAGAACTAAGCGAAATGGAGATAAGCAACCTAACAGATGCTGAGTTCAAAATACTGCTTATAAGGATGCTCAATGAACTCAGTGAGGGCCTCAAGAGCATAAAAAAGTACCAGTCAGAAATGATCGCTGCACAGTTAGAAACGAAGGAGGCTTTAACTGAAATAAAGAATAATTTACATAGCTTCAATAATAGAGTACGTAAATCCAAGGAGCAAACCATCGATTTGGAATATAAGGAAGCAAAAAACGCCCAACCAGAACAGCAAAAAGAAAAAAGAATCCAAAAAAATGAGGATAGTGTAAGGAGCCTCTGGGACAACTTCAAGCGTGCCAACATTCGCATCTTGGGGGTGCCGGAAGGAGAAGAGAGAGAACAAGAAATCGAAAACCTGTTTGAAACAATAATGGCAGAAAACTTTCCTAACTTGGTGAAGGAAACAGACATACAAGTCCAGGAAGCACAGAGAGTCCCAAACAAGATGAACCCCAAGAGGCCCACACCAAGACACATCATCATCAAAATGCAAAAGGTTCAAGACAAAGAGAGAATCCTAAAAGCAGCAAGAGAAAGGCAGCTAGTTACCTACAAGGGAGTTC